TTTCTATGAAAAAATAATTGGCCATCCAGAGAGTGATTTAAAAACTCATTTAACATGCTTACAGCCTCACCTCTCTCAGCATGCAGCATGAAGCCGCCCAGAATTAATTACTGTTGCCATTTAATTTCATGCTGCCTGACATTTCCGATGCAAACTCTACAGGGCTTGAGTGTAAAACCAGCACACTTTATTGACTAATATTGCTGGATTAAAACACATTTTTTGTTTTCAATAACTCAAATGGATGTGAAGGCAACAAAACCATCTCAAGGAGGAGTTCTCCAGAACCAGATGCTGATCGATTGGCCTAATCTTTACAGTACAATCTATCTAATTGAAAGTGGAAATACTAAAACAAACACTGACTGACAAACTCACATATAAATAATATTTTAAATAAAATCTGACATGAACTGTCACATAAATACATTTTTTAACTCTATTTGAGCACATTTCAGAGTGGCCCAGCTAATTGCGAATCTCAGGACATTGACTGTTTCTATGGGAACCAGATTTTATAAGGCAGTTGCAATATCAGGATAACTGATCAATTGACTATTGGCTCTTTTATTCAGATGGCATTAAATATTCTGCCATATTGCACATTGTAGTTTCTACCATTCATAGTAATATGAGTGAACTGTCTTGGTATATATACACACAGACTCTGCAATCACCCCTTGGTCTCATTTGGAACAGTTCTCCCAAAAAGTCTGTCATTCTGAAGCCATTTCATTTTTTTTTCAGCGAAGAACAACTTAAAGCTGTTGTATGACTTTAAAATTTTATGGTGATTTTTTTTGGCCTTTTTCCATGCTTTTCTGGTTAATAAATGAAAAAGAGCATTATATAAAAAAAATACGCATGACAGCAGCCACACCTTTCTAATACAGAGGAAACATTTACGGCAAATGAATGAATCCTTCTCACTTTTTGTCACCAATAAAGTCCTCAAACTCAAGTTATGGAATATAATATTACATGATCTGAAAAAGGCCTTTTGAGCAGAAGCCTCAAGAGGTTTCTTTATTACAGTAATATTCCTCAACGCAATGTGTAATAAAAGCGCCACAGAGGAGTAAAAACTATTATAGTCGGAAAAGAAAAAAAAATATGTTTATGATGGCAGGGGGGCTCTTGCGTCAACCTCTCTGCATGATTAAAAGAATAACCATGATAATCACTCAATTTCACTCCTTCTTTGGATTTTTTTTATGACGTTGTGTTTTTTCTGTGAGGGCCAGAAGACATACAGAAGGCTGTTGTATGTGTGAGGACAACGGAAATTAGGCTCATCGAGGTTCGTTGGATTTCTAAGTGCAGGAAAATAACTGATTACCTATAAACCAACACACTGAGAAGAAGAAGAAAAACAAGAGTCAGACTAAATGCAGGGGAAAGCCGAGTCTGACTCAGCTGGGAGTTTTTTGGGGAGGGTGGTTGTCTTTCTGCTAACATATAAGATCTTCAAAAAGAAACCAAATCCATTAGACGATGCAACTCTCCTCCTCAAGGAAGAAATTGGCAATCAGTACAACCGCCCATTAGATTTATTAAATCTCAAAGGGATTGGAAGAGTCATTCCTTCATCCACCTGTTTCTTCTAAAGAATGGCTGCATTCAAATTGCATTCTTCCCTACTATAACATAGGTGAAAGTAGTATGTGAGAAGAGTAGCATGTCCAAATTTACAGTATGCACAGTATCCCATAACACAGTATGCATATCCAAATGACCTGCTACTTCCAGCAAGATTCTGAAGTATGCATCCTTCACCATCCCATGAGGCCACAGGAAAGGCGTTACACGTGACACAACTGATGCTGGTAGGTCACATGACAATAACAACATGGCCAATGTAGTACATCCAGATTACATTTATATTACACACATTCATACTATGTAGAATCAATTTTTTAATGGTCGCAAATGGTCGTAATTTCTTACTCAAAACAAGTACCTTTACATAGAGTATGTGATTTTGGACACAAACAACGACTGTTTAGAAGGGAAGGACATAGGATAGTGAGATTTACAGTGGGGACAAAACGAAGACAGGCAAAATGCCTGCCACACAAGCAGCTCAATTCATGCCAGATCCCACTTTTCTGGTCCAATGCAATAGTTAGTTGAATGAGTTAAAGTGAAAGTGTTTACAAACCATTTTACTATGTAACCTGACATATTTCTAAGTGAAAATAGATATTCAACAAGAAAAATAAAGTCTAGAGCAGGACTTAAATTGAATCGAAATCCACTGAGCAGAATAAAAAGACTTTTATGATTACAAAATCACAGCACATTTTACATCTGCAACTGTTTTCTTCTTCCTAAGAGCACAATGCTGTTTACATTTTCAGCAGGACTACTGGAAACAACAAGACAGTTCCCCGCAATCACAGAGATGCTTTCCGATTGTTCTTATCACCATATTATAGCTTAGAGATGGAAACATCATTCCAGGAATCTAAACTTAAAGGCACTGGAGCAAATGGGGCTTTAAGAATCAGTCCAAAGCGCTGTTGCAATAATGCGATTACTTTCCTGGCCTGAGCCACTGGCCTCTGATGGAAGAACAGCCACCCGTCTGCATGATAAGTCGTCTCCCTCATACTCTGAAGCCTTTAAACCAATTACTTTCCTAATTCAATGCCACAAACCCTACAAAATGGTTTCAAATTATTTTTATGCAACCACTGATGCGCCAACAAACTTGTTGAAATAAGCACTGAGAGAAGCTGAACCACAGTGCTATTGAACATGTGATTCATTTTGATTAATTTTGCTTACTGTTGCAGTTTCACATCGGTATGATTGCATCAGACACCGAGATTAGACCAGAGTACCATTCGGCCTGTTCTCTTATTTCCTGTTTTCAATGCTGACTGACCTTACAGCAACCCTGCAGAAAGTTTCAGAGGGGAAGTTGTCTTGTAAACAAAAACTTTACAATGCAAAGAAGGAAAACGTCTCTTTCATCTGTTAATATGAATTCTTGAGGTGCCTTATAGCTTCCTGAAATGATGCAGTCATATTGACATTAGTAGTAAAGTGCGTAACATTAGAAATACTGTTCCAACAGGTCGGTTTTTATATGTATATATTAGGGATGCTCCGATCGATCAGCCGGAGATCGGTATTGGCCGATAATCATATTTTATGACTCGAGCGGTACTCACCAACTTGGCCGATCTCAGGAACCGATCGCAATTTGATGACGTCAACGCGTGACGACACACATGATGCGTGGGGACATAAATGATTTGGCGCCGCAGTCATGTCATCGCCAGTGTGGAAATGCTATGACGTTTCGAGAAACAATGAAAAATTCACTGTTTGTCGTGTATGTTTTGCACGATTCATCTACACAGCAGATTCAGTGACGTTAGAGCTGATCTGCGCCTCACTGCACGCGTCTGCAGCGCGTTACGGCTCCACGGCCACCGGAGCTGATCGTGGTCGCTCTAGTCAGTGCCTGTGTTTATCAGCCAGCCGCAGCACGTTTCTGAAGCGCCTCTCCGCGCTACTTGGTTAAAAATAGTCTTTTGTGAGTTGTCACAGCGTGGAGGACGGAACAGGTTGTATATGTATACGCATAATGTATGCATGTATGTATGTATAAGTGTGTGTATGAAATTGAATATATATCTACATACATTAAAGAATGATACATTAAAATTACATTTATTGTTTACTGAAAATCATGTCATATTTTGCCATATCAGCCTGCAGTCCTACGTCCCACTAAGGAAACTGTAGAAATAACCTAGTATGTGAGAGTAAATACACATAACGTAAATGTGAAACTCAGACAAGCTCCAGTGATAATGAATCTACTAGTTTGCAAGGTCCACGGCTCACAGAACAGCACTAAACTCAACAGAAGGTTTAGATTCTCCTAAATATCCCAAAGCTCATAGGCATCGTTACTTCAATTAGACTGCATAATTGCCTGAACTACATTGAGATAAACAAAAAACCTCAATCATTCACAAACACATTTTTGTACATGTTGTAAGCAGAGCACAACACAGCTGTTAAGAGTTTCCATTTGTTGTTAGAGATTCAACGATCCAGCAAAAATCACATTTCACGGATGCTCTTGTCAAACAGACAGCAGTTTTGGACATGAACCGCAATCACTCTTTGTGGCAGGAACGTTAAACTATTCCTCTCAATGAATGGCACTGAGATAAACATCTTGAATCAAGAACATGTCTAATCAATGACAATCTCCCACACAATACATACTAAATGCTTAAGTAAGCACTTACATCGGGTTACCACAATTTTCTATCTTTATTGCCAGGTTTCCATGACTTGAGGTAAACCATGACAGTGTTATCTGTCTGCTCTCTCACCACAGCGGAACCCAGTTAACACATGTCTATTTCTGCAGAACATCTACTATATAACCACTCCTTTCCTCTCAGAACAGATTTAAAACAGCCCCCACACTAAAGAGGTAATAATAGGAACAAATCAATTGATTTTATATCACTGCAACATGAAAACAAGACAATTAACAAGCCAGAGAGACAGATAATACCATCTCACCATGTAAACAAAAGGGGGAAAAAATCAGTTTTACAAGTTTGTTCTCTGGCATCCTGTTTCATCCTGAAAAGGAAAAGCATCTTTCCTGTTAAAGTACATCAAAACATAAAAATAAACAGCAAAATGCACTGCGGAGAGAAAACACACTGCACAGACTTAAAAATACATAAGAAGAAATCTCATCTGTCCTGTAAAATGCATCAGTACAAACAAGGAAAAAAAACGTAGTCATGCCTGTTCCACTTATAAACACCAGAGGTCAGGCAAGCACAACGAATGCAAAGTGGATCCTAGACTACGCAAAACATCAGGTGCGAGAAAAGGTAAAAATTAACACATAGCATTAAAAAAAATGAAAACCACAGTGTCACACTTGTGCACTAATTGCATTGCTAAGGTAATGAAGCTTTAAAACTGCAATTGACCAGAAACGGCAAACTCACCAGCATTCACTATGGCATCCACCTCCAGGGTGGTGATGTCACCTTTGTACAGAGACACTTTGTCAGCCAAGTAGAAAGACTTTTGTTCTTCTTCCTCAGTAGCTGTATGGCAAAGATAAAGCAAAGATTAATTTACAGAAAAGCTTTCATTTCAGATAATATTGCATGATGACTCTAGGTATTGATCAGAACAATACAGGTTCATCAAATGTCCTACAACACTCTACTGACCCACATCTGCTCTATAATCACTCTATAATGATAAACATTGAACTTTTGAAAGATGGAACTGGATGATATCAAATGAGAAGCAGTAGTGACGCCACACTGTGGCCACTTGTTTAAAAAAAAAAAACAGTCATAAACATTGCCTATTGGACGAGCATACTCACACGTCACACTGTGGTGCATTTTGCTGGTGAAAAAAAAACTTCTCTAAACATTTTAAGTAATTACTTTACAAATGTGCTACAGATCTCTGTGCACTAGAACATCTAGGCATAAAAACAGTTTTCCACCAGGCCATTTCCACCTTAAATAACTGACACACCGATTTACGGACTTGTTATAATTCAGTGCTCTTGTGGCATTAGGCAATATGTAAATACATATTTTTATTCATACAGCTGCACTCAAAAAAAAAAAAAAAAAAAAACAGTAGTGACGCCACACTGTGGCCACTTGTTTAAAAAAAAAAAACAGTCATAAACATTGCCTATTGGACGAGCATACTCACACGTCACACTGTGGTGCATTTTGCTGGTGAAAAAAAAACTTCTCTAAACATTTTAAGTAATTACTTTACAAATGTGCTACAGATCTCTGTGCACTAGAACATCTAGGCATAAAAACAGTTTTCCACCAGGCCATTTCCACCTTAAATAACTGACACACCGATTTACGGACTTGTTATAATTCAGTGCTCTTGTGGCATTAGGCAATATGTAAATACATATTTTTATTCATACAGCTGCACTCAAAAAAAAAAAAAAAAAAAAATGCTGGGGTATTTTTTTTTTTGAACCCAAATGCTGGGTTCAGCCTGTTGGGTCCTTTTATTGGGTTATTTTTAATATTTTTACCCAGGTGCTGGGTCGTTTTTCTGCACTCTAAAAAAAAAAAGAGGGATTATTTTTTTAAACCCAAATGCAGGGTTCAGCTTGTTGGGTCATTTTTAATATTTTTTACCCAGGTGCTGGGTAGTTTTTCTGTAATGGGTGATTTTTACTGTCTATATAAAATGAATGCACAAACAGCGCTGAAACATGACTCGACTTCACTGTTACATGTATCAAAGTTTCCGTGCGCTCCACTGACTACAATATGAGCGCTACTGATCTAGTGCGCCATTGTTGCAGCTGTGGTTACCTATGCTATGGGTTGAAACTTAACGAGGTTGTACACGAGGTAAAGCTGTTTTTGATGTAACTTTTCATGTAACTTTTCAAACATGAATATAAGTCATTTAATGAACTGGAACAGCCTACTGAGAGCAGTTTTCTTCCCACAGACTCCCATTGGCTGCTCCCGTCACGTCCTAAAACCTTTACGTTTCTGAAGATTTTACAACTGTAAAAGACTGACTTGATATACATACATATATATGTGTGTGTGTGTGTGTGTGTGTGTGTGTGTAAAACAGATTTTAGAATGCATTTTCATTATTTAAAATGAAAAACAACTGACCCAGCACTATGTCAAAAAACAACCCAGCAAATGGGTTAATGTATAAAACCCAAAAAGCTGGGTTAAAATAACATGTGTTCTGTCTATATTTACCCAATGCTGGGTTGCCAAATAACCCAGAAATGGTTGTTTTTAACCCAGCATTTTTCAGAGTGTGTATACTATATACAGTACATAATGTACATATCTGTAAATGCAACTGTTAGATCTAATCCAAGTTACTTTATTGTTCTTTTTAATTTTTACTTATTTAAATGTTCTGTTTTTGCATGCATGCATGTGCTGTGTTTGCATTTGCTGTGTTTGCATGCATGCATGTACCCAGAGTTCCTGGAAACCACAACAAATTCCCTGTGTGTTTGTGCACACTTGGCGAATAAAGCTCATTCTGATTCTGATCCTTCTAAATGCTGTACTTTGAACTTTTTATTAAAGGGGTGGTTTACTGTTTTTTTTCTAGGCTTGATTGTGTTTATGGGGTGCAGTCTAACATGTGTTAATGCTTCGGTTTAAAAAAAAAAAAACGCATTATTTTTCACATAATTTACCTTTATTCTACACCACCCTGTTCCTTCTCCCATAAACACGCTGATCATTTCCTGCTTTTATGAAGCCCCTCCCTCAGAAATACGTGATGGGCTCAGATTGGTTAGCTGGTCCAGTGTGTCCCGCCCCTCACCTCAGCGGCATGTGCTCGGGTTGTATTGTAAACAATGCCGTCGTCTATATTGCTTATCAGTTTGAGCCCGACTGAGACGCAGAGGATATTAGTGAAGAGGATCGTGCAGAACCTGTGCAAGCACGGCTTTTAACGGTATGTTTTTTGATTGTTGTTGTCTCATACATTTAGATACGCAGTTATTTGTAAATGCTACTGCTTCTGTTAGCTTTTAATATACGGTTTTATTTAAAGCTGATTAAAGGTTTAATACAGTACGGCAACCGCAAGCGCGTCCATGTATAACGCTTCTCATAGCTAATTTAATAATAATAATAATAATTCATGCATTTAGCAGACGCTTTTATCCAAAGCAGGGGTGCCGGAGCCCTGCAGAGTTTAGATTCAACCCTAATTAAACACCTGATCCAACTAATCAAATCCTTCAGGTTTATTTGAAAACGACATGGTATGTGTGTTGCAGCAGGATTGGAACAAAACTCCGCAGGGCTCCGGCCCTCCAGGAACTGAGTTTGCATTCAGGCTATACATTTTTTTTACCAGTATGTGTGTTCCCTGGGAACTGAACCTACGACATTCTGCGCTGCTAATGCAATGCTCTACCACAGAGCCACAGAGCGAGAGAGAGAGAGAGAGAGAGAGAGTGGAGTCAGCTGTCTTAACCGCGGCTTGTGTACTGCATCATTACTGTGTCTGTTCCCCTTTCGGCCTTGAACTGATGGTAAAACTAATGACATTATTTACTGTCTTTACATTTAGAGAGAGAGAGAGAGAGAGAATGTAGAGCAGGGAAACGCGAGGAACAGTATTGAGAACCGCTGCTTTAGAACATTGATTTTGAAACTTGTGAATCCATTAGAATCGTTAGAAGACAGAATCACGATTCATATATGAATAGATTTTTACTCAGTCAACCACCCCTTTAATCAAATAATTCTGAAAAAAAAGCATCACAGTTTCTACAATAATATTAAGCAGTACAACTGTTTTCATCTGTGATCATTTTCTGAAGGATCTTGTGACATTGAAGACTGAAGTAATGGCAGCTGACAATTCAGCTTGACCATATCACGAATAAATAAAATAAAAAAATATATAAATTAAAAATATAATCATAAAATATATTGGGGAAAAATGTGTTTTAACTGGTAATAGTATTTCTATTTACATATAATATTAGATATAATATTTACTGTATTTTTCATCAAACAAAAGCAGCCTTGGTGAACATAAAGAGACTTCAAAAACATAAAAAACAGACGTCAAGCTTCTGAAAGGTAGTGTTCACACACACATATACTACTTAAAACTCTCTCATATACTCACTGAGATAACTTTTTGATCAATCAATATAACCTCCATTCTTCCATTTGTGTCGTTTGGCTTTACTATTATTCTAAAATATAAAAAAAAAGTAATAATATGAGCAAGCGTGTCCAAACCTTTGACTGGGAGCGTATAAAATTAAATGTCAAACATGTAAGCAGATTGCACATTTAAACCATCTTCACTATGGGTTTTCTATAGTGGAACAAGTGTGTGAGTTTATGTAAATCTACAAATACCAGTTACCTTTTCAAATAGCTTTGTACCAGCTCCCAGAATGCTGAGAGAACAAGAACCAATGAAATCAGGCATGTAGCGCTGGCATGTAACACGGTGCATATGGGTTAACAGAAGAGATAGTAGGCCAATGAATAGAACGTCCAAACCATCAGGCCTCAAAAACTGCTGGCACTGGCCAGTCGGTCAGCTCTATTTGATGCCATAGGCATGCAACAGAATTATATGCAAAAATCACATGAATATTTGCAAGCTAAAATAAGCAGTGTTCATTATGCTCATTTAAATAATTTCCTATAGCACATCCTACAGACTGTCCTCTTAGATTAGTAGAGCCAGAGCAAATATCCGGCTCTAATGTGAACGGACCAGATCAGCTCCTGTCAGTTCATCTCCAGGCCTGCTGGCACAGGACATAGCCATTTGGTGAAGCACGTGCAGGATGTGCGAGGAACAAATCTCATCCAAGGCAACGGAAATGTTCCATTTAGCATTTCCGACATCCTCTCACTATACTACAGATTAAAATGGCCTGAGGATTTTAAGCAAGATGTATTTTAAGGATTTCTTCAAATCATCTTTTAACTAAGATTGCATTTATCGGAAATAGGCCCACACAGAATCTGATGATTCTTTCACATTTTCCAAGCTGATGTTGGACTAAAAGAATGGATTTAAACATGCTATATGTTCAAGATGAGCTCAGGGTATAACTCTGATCAGCATTTGTAGGTTGATTTGATTTCCATTAGAGGAATGCCACAATGTCAGTGCCGACAGCCTAGTGGGCAAGTGTGCTGACATGTAACGGCATTGTGTTACGGGCATCCCGAGTTCGAATCCTGGCTTGAGGACCTTTCCCGATCCTGTCCTCCTCTCTCTCTTTCTCCCACTTCGCTTCCTGTCTGCTCTCTACTGTCATATCATAAAAAATGTAAATAAAAAAAGAAGAATGCCACAACACAACAATATTTACCATAAAACATTATTGAGCATCCCAACCAGAATGGCACAAAAAATGGCCTAAAATTGGAATGAAAATACCAGTTTAAACTGACCAACAGCAGACAGGGGAAGCATTTAGGAAGCCCATTTTTAAATATTCAAAATGAAGGCAACTCCGTTTTGTGCCACTAGAGTAGAAATTACATTTTTAAATAATAAGATAACACTA